GTGTGCCGCTGTCCCCCCCCCACCCCACCCCAGCATCAGCTGCATTTCAGCACCGGGCAGTGAGCAAGCCGTCCTGGTTGGCGTTCCGTGCAGCTGTTCCCCCCCGCCGCCCCGCCCCAGCATCAGCTGCGATTCTCTCACCTCGCCCTGCTGCTGTTGGCTTTTCTCTTTCTTCTGCTGGAATTTCTCCAGCTTCTCTTTCTTTTTCGCCTCTTTCTTCAGCTGGGAGGCGCTCTTGGTCGGGGCCTCCCCGGGAGCAGGGGCTGACTCAGCTGCCGGCCCCGTTTCTGCAGGCACCGCGGGTTCTGGGGAAACCAAAAAGAATTCACTCTTCATCAGACTCACAGGTCCATCTAGTTCAGTATCCCACGGCTGTCACCATGAATCCAGCCACGTATACACCACTCTCCCCCTGTCCCTGGCTACCCAGATCACCTTAGTGCCCCCCCAGGACCTCAGACCTATTGATCCGTCCAGCCTGGTATCCCACTACTGCCACCATGAGTCTGAGCTCTGGGTCAATCCAGCTTAGTATCCGGACTGTAATATCCTGCAGCAGGGAGTTCCACAGGCGCCCGCATAGCCGACACAGCAAGTGTACTGCAGGCTTGGAAGGGGGCACTCTGGGCAGGTGTTGGGGGACCACTTACCCTTGGTCCCCGGTTTGGGGGTGTCACCCCCCGCCGCCTGCTCACACAGCTTCACCTGCCCCAGCACAGCCTGGAACTGGGGTTGGTTGACGCAGGTCAGGAACCAGCGTGTAACGTTGGTGTAGGGGGCCCGGCTGGAGGGGTCCAACACCTGGGGAAAGACCACAAGAAATTGGGGGGGTATCAATATGGGGACAAGGGAGATACCATTATTGAAAAGGGGGGGGCAATTTGTAAATACTTCTATTAGCCCCAGGGTGGAAGATATAAGACGGGAGGAGGAGAGGGTAAAAGTATCAGGAAAAACCAATCTGGAGTTTAAGGTGGACTATACCATTATTGGAACTAAGGAGAGGGGAAGACAGGATCAGGAAAAACCATTACTGGGAGATACCATTAGTGGAACTGAGCAGGGGGAAAGGTATATTAAGGAGATACCATCACTGGAATTAAGGGGGAAGAGATATACCGTTACTGAAATTAGAGAAGACAGACGCTATTATTGGCAATAAATATCGCAGGGGCAGAGGGGAGCAGACAAATCAGGTTCCAGATCAGAACTACGCTCTCAGCCCCATACACAGACTGTGCCAAGCCCCTCCCTGCCTCCCCCCACACCTTTAGGCTGTCCTGATAGCTGCCCCACCTGCTCCCCAAGGGGTGGGGAAAGGAGGGTGGGGGAGATCTTGGCTTTTCAGTCTATTGGCAATAAATATCGCAGGGGCAGAGGGGAGCAGACAAATCAGGTTCCAGATCAGAACTACGCTCTCAGCCCCATACACAGACTGTGCCAAGCCCCTCCCTGCCTCCCCCCACACCTTTAGGCTGTCCTGATAGCTGCCCCACCTGCTCCCCAAGGGGTGGGGAAAGGAGGGTGGGGGAGATCTTGGCTTTTCAGTCCCCCCACCCCACACCAGAGGCCCCCCCCCCATGGGGGCCAGGGCCTCGTGGGGGGCCAGGACGACGGGGGAGCTTGGATGCTCACGTATTTGTAAGGCAACAGCAGGGCGCAGGCCACG